TCACTTGGCTCGTCGATTCATCCTTCCACTCGACGGGTTTCTCCTGACACGAATCGCGGGGCCACCCCGACTCGACTTGTCGAGTCCACTTATGGACTCGGCGAGTTGCTTCCATGTTCTTACTCAAATGACCTTCTAAGGTCAGTTCTGCTTCCCTAACTATCATATCTACCCTTCAAGTGCTCAAATGTCACGTAAAAGGTGCAACCTTTACGTGCATGCAACCCACATCAAGTCACAAAAGGAGAAATAACTCTAAAAATGGCAACCTAGTCTCCAATCTCTCATTTGCTTGCATAAAGCTGAGGGATAGTGACTCTATGGACCCCTCATGGTCCATATCTGATGCTATTAACACAAAGGAGACCTCCTACTCACTAGATCTTACATATAATGGGGGTAAAAACCCTATAATCATGAAATCCATCATATCAACATGAAATAGAAAGGATTATACCTCTAGAGATGAAATCTCAAGATGATTAGCCCAGATCCAAGCCCCCTTCACGCTCTAGATTGGTGTTTCCTTCTTCCTTCTAACAAAACTACACCAAAAGTGATGTATTAACCTCTTATTGCTCTCAAACTCTCCTACTGCTCTCTCTAGGGTTTCTCTGGGATGAAGTGGCCGCAAATGGAGGCCATAAAGGCCTTTAAATAGGGCACAAACCCCAAGAATTAGGGTTTCCGATTACAGCGCGGACTCGTCGAGTCCACCCTTTCCGACTCGTCGAGTCCGTTCGTTAATCCAGTCAGCACATGCGCTCGACGAGTCTACGCCTCAACTCGTCGAGTCCCTCCCTTTTTCTCAAAAGAATAAATGATCAAACATAATACCTGAAATCTGGATGTTACACTCGGCGAGTCCAAGGCAATCTCCCAATATTTGAAGATGGACTCGACGAGTTGTTCATACAACTCAGCGAGTCACAGACTTGTTACACTCATATCATGAAGATGGACTCGATGAGTTCAAGGACGAACTCGGCGAGCTATATGAAGATAGTCCCGATGTTGTGATTGAAAAAGAACTCGTCGAGTTCTTGCTAGACTCGACGAGTAGAGTCGGGGTTGGGAACAGATGAAAGAGTAGGGACTCGACGAGTTGGTGAACCAACTCGACGAGTCAGTTCAACTGGGTGTTGACTTTGACCAGGATGTTGACTTTAGCCAGGGGTAAAATGGTCATTTTACCCTAAGAGTAATTATCAGTGTTGACTGAGTACCTTTATTGAAATTTATAGTCGGAGAGTCGCCGTAGCAGCAAACAGAGATTTCTCACCCAGAGTTGCAGCAGTCAGTCGCACGAGGTGAGTTTTCTTCCAGTAGTAACGGGTCTACGGCCACAATGCCGACCCGTTTAAGTTGTAGAGTATGCCGGGGTGAGCCCGATGCCGGGGTTAGCCCGATGCATTTTATATGTTTCCGGACTTTGGTCCGATGCCGGGGCGGTCCCGAGAAGTAGTTAAGTATGCTTGATGTCTTTGTGATTCATGCATGTATATGTGTTATGTGTTCCGGGCTTCGGTCCGATGCCGGGCAAGCCCGATGCAGTATATGCGATTATGTTATATGTTATGTGTTAAGTGTTCCGGGGTAAGCCTGATGCCGGTGCAAGCCCGATGTATGTTAGTTATTATGCCATGCATTATATGTTCCAAGGCAAGCCCGATGTATGTTAGATTATATGTTCCGGGCTTCGGTCCGATGCCGGGGCAACCCCGATGCAGATCATGTGATTATGTTATGTGTTTATGATATATGTTATGCTGTGTATGTGTCGGGATAAGCCCGATGCCGGGGCAAGCCCGATGCCGGGGTGAGCCCGATGCGGGGCAGGAGTCCGATGTCGGGTAAGCCGATGCCGGGATTCGTCCCGATGCAGTTGGGAGTAGTCCCAGAGTTATGTTATTTGTTATATGTGATTTGTATGGTATGTGGTAATTTGGGGGAGGTCACTAAGCTTCGTGCTTACAGTTTCAGTTTTGGTTTCAGGTACTTCAGCTAGCAAGGGAAATGGTTCGGGATGATGGCATGACACACACCACAGTTTTCTTAGCCTGGGAGTTTACTCTGATATTTTATATGAGATTATGATATGATAACAGATTTAATGAGATTTTGAGATACATGTTTTATGATTTTATACTATGGCAATGATATTTATTTTTGTTAAATGATTTTGAAAACGAAATTTTTGGCTAGTATTTTTTTTATGAGATTTTGAGATACATGTTTTATGATTTTATACTATGGCAATGATATTTATTTTTGTTAAATGATTTTGAAAACGAAATTTTTGGCTACCATTTTTGGGATGTTGCAAAGAGGAAGAAACATACTTATGAAAATAAATTATATTCTAGATTTAGGGCCGAGGATTTGAACCTGTTGAAAAAACAAAACTTCTTTTAAGAGAAAAAAACAAATATAAAAACATTTAGGCCTGAAAACCATAAACACTACTCTTAGATTCGTACATGCCTGAAACCCATTTAGGTTGAACTGACCATGAAAAAAATGTGTTATTATGGATTAAGCCTAACCCCTGTGTCTTACTGAATTCATACGAATTCATACGTTTCAAGAATCATTTCCTATCAAGTATATGATGATTTAGAGAGCATAAACAAAACCCAATGCCTTAAAATGCAGATTTGGAGAGTTCATGTGAAATTAAGTTGATATTTCAAAATCAGATGGGTGATCCACAAAATTGGATAATTTTGGAAACTTGAGTTAAAGAGTGGCACACCTGAATTGCATTTTACATGGAATTGAAGTCATGAAATTCAATTAACCCAAAACAGAATCCCAGCTACTGGTCAAATGGAAGATGAAAAATATTTTATAATGACAGATTAAAGAAAAATATTATAATATTAACTTAACTTTAATAATGACTAAATTAACAAACCTTGTTGCTTATAACTTAAATACCTCCTGACTTAATAGGGCCAACAATCCACCACACTTAAACTAATATAATCACTAACACTTAAATCCTATCATTACTGAACCAAAAAAAATGCTTTAAAAAGTAAAAAGAGGAAAAAGTCAAAACACCTTAAAAGTTTATGTCAAAACACCTTCTAGATAAAATCAAACCTAGACATAAACAATTACTAAAGAATCTTCATTTAAATTCAAAAACTATATCATATAAGAGTATGTAATATGGCCAAACTAACCTTCATGCTTTCCACTTTGAGTACTCATTCCATCGAGTAAATTAGAGGAAGCGAGGTTCATTTATCGTGATTAGGTCTTTGCAGAGGAATTCATCGGGTTTAAAGTAATAAAAATGTATACCTTACAATTCTTTGAGCAATAAAAACAGAAGAACCAGGGGGGAGAGAGAGAAAGAGAAAGCTTACCAAGAATTTATCAAAGCAAGCAATAGAGAGGAAAATAGAGTTAAGAAGCCCCATAAAGATCCAGTTCTTTATCTTCTTCATTATCTCGATGAACCGACTACTTGGAAGACCTGCAATCGGTAGAGTAAAAGAGTGTTATGGAATATGAGATTAAGAAAGCGTCAGCCTCTATAGCCTTAAAAAAAAACACCATCATATGGTGTGCCTGACGGCTAATTAGGGTTAGAGAGAAGAAGAGATTGTTGAGAAAAGGGGGAGCATTTTATAGAGAGGAAAGATTTCAAAATTTAAACAGAAAAGAGCATGAGAGAGCCAGAAAAAGAAGGGAGAAAGGATTTGATACCGTAGAATCAGTTCATTTAGATAACCCTAGATCCAGGATTAAAGGGGGGACTGAGTCAAAAAAATTGTTACTGACCGGATAAGATTTTAGTGCATAAATTCATTGTACAAATCGCATAATGGTTTGTACCTCTTAAAATTCAGCATTTAAGGCTAAATGCTTATTAATGTGTATATATATATATATATATATATATATATATATATATATATATATATATGGTTAGGTTAATGGGAGACTGCCTAATTTTGTGAGACTGTGATACCACTTTTTTCTAGTGAAATATTTCAATATTTTAGTGTTTATAAAAATTTAATATGTGTAATATTCTAATATTCTAAGTCAATAATTTTAAGATATTTTACATTGAAGTATTCTAAAACATATAATATTAGAATATATTGAATATTCTATTTTTACGAACAATAAAATATTAGAATATTTCACTAAAAAAAATTTGGTTTCACTGTCTTATAAAATTATATTCGTCTCAAACGAACTGTTATATATATATATATATATATGCACAAGAGTTGTAACTTTAAAACTAATGTTTTAAAAACCGGTTTTAAGTTGAACCGATATGGTGACTGATTCCCGGTTCAACTGGTTCGACCGCCGTGTTAACCAGTTTCTATAATTTTCATTTTTTTCCTATTTTCTATACATAAATACATATATAAATCTTGAATTTGACGTTTACAAATTTTTACTAATATAAATTTAAATGTTTGTTATATTTAACTTTTTTTTTAATAAATCCATATAATATATGAATCTTGCAACTAATATCTATTATATTATGTAACTAGGTGTGAGACCCGTATTTTATACGGGTTTGATAAAACAAAAAATTAAATATGTAAGTTTAAACAAAATTTTATTTAAATTTGAAATTTTAGATTTGAAATTTGAATTTATTGGTTATTTTCAATTAAGGCAATTATTAATTGAGATGTAATATGATGTGTTAATTAAGAAAATAGAAAAAATAAGAAAATGACAAATGGAAATAACAATTATTCAAAAATACCAAAAAATGACATGTGTCCAAGTTAATAAGAGAATGACATGTGACAAAATTATTTGAGGAAATTCAAAAAATAAGATTTTATTTTATTATTTGTATATATAATAAACTGAGTTTGTTTAGTATTTGAAGACAATAACAATAGTATGTTTCTTTTAAAAGCAATGTTAAGCCTATGTTTAATATTTATTTATTATTTTGTTGTTGTAAGAATGATATATATAAATAACACCTCCACCCACAAACATCCAAACTCTTTTCAGTCCCCTTTACCTTTTGTTTCTTCAAACTCATTCATATCATCACACCTTTCCCATGAATCCCTACTGAATCTTCTTCCTCAAACCCTACCATGCAACCCCTCAAAGTCTCCTTTCCATTCATTCTAATCGTCTTCTTCACGTGTTGTCACTTTCATCCATGCCGCTCTGGCCTACTCTCTGAGCCTGCTCAACCGCTCCAACCACCGGATTTGTCCACTCCAAACACCATCCCTTCCTTTCCGGTTCAGACCGCTGCACGGACTTGTCAGCTCGATTTATCCGCTGAGCTCTTCGGCGGAGTAAACGCCGCGTGTGGCCATAACCTCGACCGGAGTCGTTGCTGTCCCGTTCTCGCAGCGTGGCTCTTTGCAGCTCACGCTCGGTCGGCACTCCAAGTGAATTCTTCCACGTCGTCTCCGGCGTCCTCCGCAGGGATGCCGATAATGCCTGACGATTCTCAGAAATGCGTCAACTCGTTGCAAAGCTCGTTGCAGAAACAGAACATTCACATTCCTCAACCAAACGCGTCGTGCGACGCCGTATTATGCTTCTGCGGCATCCGCCTCCACCAAATCACTTCCCTTACCTGTAACACCGCCTTCAATCTCACTGCTCGGAATGCGACGCCTAAGGCCGTCGTCAGAAACTTAGAAAAGAATTGCCGGAACTCCACCTACGCCGGATGCACAAAATGCCTCGGAGCTCTGCAAAAGGTCTGGTGACCCCTTATCCGAAATGACGATAATACCCTTCATATATTATTTTTTTCCCTTTTGTTTTTACTACTTACGAAAAGGAAATCGCCGTAGGAAAGGACATTTGTCGATAAAATCGACAGATAATGACTAAAATGCCATTGATAACTGATGGATGAAACTGTTGTTGCAGCTAAACGGCGAGGGCAAAAATGGAACAACAAAAGGTGACCGGACGAGTAAGATGCTGAATCGAGATTGTCAGCTGATGGGACTGACATGGCTGCTAGCGAAGAACAAGACGGCGTACATACCGACGGTTTCTGCTGTATTGCGTGCCATCATGTACACTGCGCACCCACCCCATGAATCTATGTGTAGCCCCGATCAGGAGAACATGCCGTTGGCCGTTGATTCGTTGCAGTTCGATAAATCGGAGTCCTCTTCTTCCTCTTCGTCGCCGTCGTCGTCATCATTATCTTGGTCAAGTGCTGTTTTTCTTGTAATGACGATATTGCCCCTACTGATTTTTGTGTAGTTTGTCTTGTCTTTTGGGTTCATGCGGATTTTGCTGATGCTATCTGTGCATGTTACTTGCTACGGAGTCACGTGATAGCAGTTGACGCTTGACAGGGTGGCTAGTGGGGAGGGGTGTTTTTGTCTTTTGATTTCCACTTTTCCACTATGGCACTATGTATATTATTTAGGAGTCGTTATCTTCTTTTCGATTTGGATTCTATTTAGATTTTAGGAAGTAAAAAAATTAGTTTTATTTACCTAGCTTTTTAAATTTATTAAACATGTTATCTAAATGAAGCTTATAATCATGTTTCGGGTTATAGAAAAAGTATACATCTTTTCATATAGCATGTTTGACTCGTTAAAATATGGTAAGTATTAGTAACAAAATAAAACGTTATAACATCAATAAATATTAAACAAGTTTCATGTTTATATTGGTATATATTTTGGTTATCGATTAATAATTTGTTCTAAAAGAAAAAAATTTCGTTGTTACATAAATTAGTCATAATGTTTGGATGCTTAGGTTCTAGATTGAAACATTGTTATCTATTTCATTTAAAAAACTTTTGCTACATAAATTTGGAAAAATGTTATAAGCCGTTGTATAAAGAAGTACTTAATTCCTTAATTAGATTGAAATTAGTCGGGGTCACATGATAATATCATATACGTGGGTAATTTGTATGGATCAAAAAACGAGGAAGATTGACAGATTTGTAGTAATATAGGGTGAGTATGTTGGTCTCGGTTGTTATTTTTTATGTATACAATTTGAATTGATTCTTTCCATACAACATTATTATAAGTCAATAATTTCATAATAATATCATATAAAATAAGATTAAATTAATAAAAAAAAGTTATGGTTTGTAGAGGGCACATGTTTAAAGGAGAGAATCGCGGTTGAATGCTTGTCGTTTTGCTCATCCCCATGCTCTCCCTAAAAACATGATAAAGTTTATTTTCTCATCCAAAAAAATATAATATAGATTCATGTTTTGATAAAATTGTGAGATTATTAATAAGATAACGAAACCTAATCTTAATCACGACAATGTATGACAATTGCGTTGACTCAATGCTGAACGAATATTGTATAATCGAAGTATCGAACACATGTAAACATTTACGAATGTATTTTGTAGTGTGGGAATTAATCATCAAATTAGAACGTATGTAACTATACGAAATTATTTATATAAAGATATAGTGAAATCAATATCAAATGTTGGTGTTAAGTGCTTTGGAGAAATACCAAGTTTTACTAGAGTGATCATGGTGTGGTCCGGTGCCGTTTTTGGTAACCAAAAACCGCAACTTCGATTTTTGAAGTTTAGAAACTGTGCGGTTCGGTCTTTTTACAGTTTGAATTATTTGCATTTTTTTTTTTTGCGTTTTTTTGTTTGGCTTTTGTAGGGGTGTTCGTTTGGATGGATCGGTTTGATCTGATCCAATCAAGTGAATCCAATTTGATTTCGGTTTTCAAAACATGGATCCGAATAGTCCAAACTAAATTCAAATCCGATCCGATCCAATCCAATCAAATTACATTTCGGTTGGATCGGTTTTATAATTCGGTTTTCAAAAACCGAAACATTTTAAAACGACATATAATTATAATATTACCTAACTTTACACAAAACAAAACAAATTATTTAGTTGTGATTTGAAATTTATAAACAATTATTAAGAAGATATATCATAGTTAAATATTTTATAGATATAAAACTTTTGAGAGAAAATGCATATTAATGTTTTTTTATCGGGTGAGACGTTTTAAACTTATTTGAAAACATAAATTACTAAATTAATAAATAACTATAGATATATATTATAAATAAATAAATAATAAATGTTTATTCGGTTTGTTTGGACTATTCAGTTCTTATTTTATAAACCAAAATCAATCCAAAATCTAATATAATAATTCGGTTTTGTTGAAAACCAATCAAAAAATCCGAATATCCGAACCAAATAGTCCAATCCAAATTGTCCAATTGGACAATTCGGTTTTATCAAAATAGTGAACAACCCTAGGCTTTTGTACGAAAATAGTCACTTGAAAACAACTTTTACTTATACACATAAATAGTCCCCGTACAATTTTTTTGTTCTATTTACAGTTCATGTATAACATCTTTTCCTTATTTACATAAATGGTCCATGTACACAGCTTTAACATATTTACATAAATGGTCCCTGTAGCTACATATGTACATATAAACATATAAATGGTGCGGTGCGGTTTTTCACTGAAAACCGCATCGCATCGAAAAAGTTGCGGTTTTTGAAAATTTTAAACTGCACTATAGATTTTATGTTTAGTTTCGGTTTTTCGGTTTTCAATTTGCACTTTACTTTTTGCTCACCCCTAAGTTGTAGCATAGAATATCTAAGATATAAATAGTACGAAATCAAATGTGATATTTTGCAATATTCAAGCATTTTAATAAAGGGTTATATTTTGTTGTGTAAGTCACTAATCCTTTTAATTGTACTACATGATAAAACTTTTACTTTTCATTACATAAATATCCCAACTTGTAAATTTGGTATTAGGTTTTCGAGTAAAATACAAGGATAATGCTTCAAAAAAATTATAAAATTTGATCAATTTCTAAAATTTCCCGAAGGTGTCTCTAACTTTAACAACGTTTTTTTAGGATCAAACTTTATGATTTGATGAGTGTCATCAGCCACATTTTTTTCTTATGCCAAATTAACCCAATGTAGGTCAAAGCTTATTAAGTCAACATGTGGGTATCTTTTTATGACAGACAACTTGTTGTAAAGACCCATCCACATGTAACAATCTCCGGAAGACTTGAAGATAAGGAAGAGTGGGAATGTTCGAAGTTCAAGTTGAAGATAATGATAAGTTTTACAAAGTATAGAAGACTCATGATATAATAATGGGATTCCACTGACGGTTGGATTAGTATATATATATATATATATATATATATATATATATATATATATATATATATATAGCACTTATGTTATTTTTTACTTCTATTATTCGACTAATGGATTCTTATGTAAAAGCTATTTCATTAGATCTAAGAGTTCATTGATTAACTTCAGGCGCGTCTCAGATTAATATATTGTTTGGTGATTTGTATCATTGATATTATTTAAGTGTAATGGATTAATTTATTGATCAATATAATCTTGATAAACATTGAACAAGTAATGATGGTGTGGAGTGCATAATTGTTTGAGTTTATGAAAGATTACAAGTACACCGTCACTTAGGTGAAAAGCCCTTAAACTAACAGGGGTCTGGGGTCAGCGTCCTTGGTAGTGGGGTCCAAGGGCTGGCAATCCCTGGTGGGGTCCAAGGTGTAGAGCCCCTAGCTGGCGTCGAGCTAGTTCTAGACCCAGTTTTAAGGTAGTTTAGTGACAGTTTTATGTCGGGTTTCAGACAGGAGGTTATTTCCTATAACTACCAATTTTGCAATTTTCAGACATGAGGTTATTTCCTTGTTAATTGGTAAATCTCATGTTTACATTGGTACTCACAAGATCATGATTTCATCTTCATTCTCTGTTCTTGAAACACATACCGAGTTTTTATCTTATCGAAAGATTCCAAGAGTACCATTAAAATACTTTCATCTGAATGTGTTCTCATGACTCTCATTTTTTCCATTTAATTGAACCCCAATTTTCTAACATCTCTTGGATCTAGAAACCATATTCATCAATACAATTTAGTATCAAAGCAATTGTGGTGTTCTATTTCATTGTGATTGCATACTATGAGACTAACAAGTGGTATCAGAGCAGGTTTATACTGATCTAAACTTATATACAAATCTTGTAATCATCATGTCTTCCTCAAATTCCTTTCAAAATCATATAAACAAGTGTCTTCCGTTTTATGAAAACAACTTCATAATGTGGCTTAGTAAGATGTTCATGTTGTTGGAATCAATAGACTACAACTTATTGGAGATCATCATTAATAGACCTTAACTTCCCATGATTCAAATTACTGAAGAATGAGTACCTGTTAGAAGTGTAAGAACTCCAACGACACGATGGACGTGCGTCGCATGCGAACGCGTCACAACCAAGTAAATAAGTTTGACGTTTGTGCCCTTATTTTTGGGTTGCTATCGAATCCGGACCCTCTCTCACTCACTCACTCTCTCTCTCTCTCTCTCTCTCTATATATATATATATATATATATATATATATATATATATATATATATATATATATATATATATTAGGCTTTTTCCGGATTAAATCTCAATTTCTATTATTGAAAAGCTCTTATAAATTTTTCCTATTTATCCTAATTTAGCCCTTACAATTTTTATTTTTTCTATTTACCCCATACATTTTTATTTTTATTTATTTAGCCCCTATATTTTTTTTCATTTTTCGGATTAAACCCCAATTTTATTTATTTATTTATTCTAAAAAATCATTACAACTTTGTTATCTTGAACGTTTTCTTGCATTCGGTTCCTTAATTCAATGACAGATTTACTCCAAACCATCATGAAGTTGGAAGCTTCTGATATGAAGTTATAGAACCAGATGTAAAAAAATATTCTAAGCTAACAAAGATGTAAGGTTTTTCTAGAAAAAAAAATATATATAGTTGAGGTTTAATCCAAAAATAAAAATATAAAAATATAAGAGCTAAATCGACAAAAAAAAAATATAATGGGTAAACTGAAAAAATAAAAATTGTAAGGGATAAATCGGAGAAAATAGAAAAAACTATAAGAATTTTTTTCATAAAAAAAAATTAAGTTGATATTTAACCCGAAAACACAATATATAAATTTATTTATTTATTTTGATTAACCCAAAAGTTAAATACATAGTGTTTTTTTATCTGAGTTCAGATGTGTTGTCAATGCATGTCTTTTTACAAGATTGCTTATTTTGAGTATATTGATATATGCATGATCTTGCATCGTTGTTGTATGATACATGGAATTCTTTAAAAGAATATGTTATGTTTCCAAACACATGTTTTGAGTAAGATACTTGACTTTTGCGTACCTTCACACGATTCAAAAATGAAATTACTTTCTCACATGGAATTTTTAACTTTGAAGTGCACACTTGAAAATATTATAGCACCTGCTATTTTTGGGGTTACAAGTATTATCTTTTCAGTGAAAATTTTGTGAATATATATATTTTCAATTAAAATAAATAAAATAATGGATTAAAAAGTTTCAAAGTTAATTAATATAAATTTAACTAATTAAAGTTTAGTTAAAATGGTTTATGTGAAAGTGAAAAAAATCTTTAAGATTTAGAATTACAGAATTATTTTTTGAATAAACTCATTTAATTAGATATTGCACTTAAAAGTGTAAGATATTTAATCATCTAGGATGGAATTACTTAAAATGAGAATATAAATGTGAACTAAGATGTCACATTTAGGGACCATCTTGTCAAATATGGAAACTTAGGTTTAATTTGGTCAATTAAAATTTAGAGTATTTTGGAAGAAGTTGCAGTTGAAATGGTAAACGCTAAGTTAGTTATAAAGTTAGGTTGTGTTTGACATGTCATAGCTAGTTAATAAATTAAACTATTTTTTGAATGTTTTTAAATTGTCATGTTTGACAAATAAAAAAATAACTTATAAGTCAGCTTTTTTAAAAACTATTTAGACTAATTTTTTAAGAGTTTTTTTTCTAAATATTCTAAATATATCCTTAATTAATTATAGCAAACCAATTATCCTAAATATCCTTTTATGTCATTCTATATATTTAAGTTAGTTTATCAACTATTTTTTACCAAACGTTATTTTTTACCATCTAATTTATAAGCTCACAATTTGCTTTTTACCTATCAGTTAGCAACTAGCTTTTCAGCTAGTACGTCAAATATAATCATAGTGTTGAAATGGTTCAAAAAGGAAATTAAGAAATAAAGGTACCCACTCCTTTAAATACGCAAATATTTGAACCCAAATCCCCAATTCCCTCTCCATCTCTTCATTATATTGATGTAGGGCTTAGGAAGAGGCCTCGAGTGAAGATTTTAGTAGATGAAAATGAATGGGAGATTATTGGAAGATATCTCAAGAGTTTGGAGGAGGAGTCATCAAAAAAGAGACTTATGAATGTAACATTCTAATTCATGTTCTCGATTCTACTGTTATGAGGTTTTCATTTCTCCCAAATCCAAAATGTGATGTTTTGATATTTAATTAGATGATAGGATGAAGTTCTAATTAGTATCCCATAATTATTTTATTAATCAATCAACAATATCTTTTGATGTTGATTGAATTTGAGCTTTTGAGGTGATTTTGAAACTTATAAACCTTATATTAATATTTGAATTATTAGTCTTCCATAATTCAAATAAAATTGCATAATTCACAGCCGTCTAACATAACTTCAATGGACATACTTATTGCCATCGAGTTGAGTACTAATTGACTAAAGAACATCATCTTTTTAGTTATAGTGCCAATAGACAATCAAACAAATAATCCAAAACCAACAATAGATACAAAAGTCGAAACTAACAACGAACATAATAACAACAATCAAAACCCTTGAAACAGAACGAATCAAACCAAACGGAATATATAAACAAACCAAAAAAATCATACCTAACAATAAAAAGAAGGATCGTTTTGAAAAAAAAAATCAAAGAATGGTACCTAGCCAGTGAACAGTACCGAGTCGATGAATAGTGGTGACTTTTTTTTTTCTAAAATTTCAACAAAAATAACAAATTGATCTACAAAATTAATTTTAATCGGATAGAGCTCTGATACAATATAAACGAATAACAATTTAAAGAGAAAACGGTTAGAGTTTTAATATTAAAAGAAAGTTATATTTACAAAGAAGAGAAAATACAACTATAAATAGAAAATATAAATAGAAAAGTTACCTAGGATTATCTAGCTACATGGCTAAATAAAGAGTCAAAATAAAACAAACCCAATAAATTTATTAGGCTACCATAACTTATTTCTTCACTTGATAACAAAAAAGACTAGTAAACTGCATACGCAATACGTCTAATTAACATGCTCCTACATCTCTCACCAACCTTTGCCGATTAGCCATAGCCAGTCACATGTGACCCCAACGAAAATACCTCCCATAAGATACAAGACAAGTATATTCCCTAATGCGTTTTGTTCCGGTCCCTACAAACAATAATCATTAAAACACATACATTAATACGTACGAAGAAAATATATAAGATTGAAAATATATATTTCTTACGAAATTGGAACTAATTCCATATGTTATGGTGTTTATATTTTCCACAACCGCCTTTCTTTATATAAAATGGTCATTGAAAAAAGCATGTTGGGCCCTTCATAACTATTCTAACATCGAAGTGTTCGTTTAGTTTATTTCAAATTATAGTTATAAAACTTATTAGGCCACAATTACTGAATAACAAAAAATAGCAATAGTAATTACTTCGTCTTGAAGATGCAAGAATATATGATTCTGGTGTACAAGTCTTTCTAGTTTAATTTTATAAATTGATAGAACCGATGACATGGGCTGGAGATAAGAGTAATATATCTGGTTTGGTACTTGGTATCATCATGTAAAAAGTTTTTCACGTTATATATTTTTCAAATAAATAAAACAACGATCGTAGACAAGAAACAACATTATACTTCCATGATTCCTTTTATTAAAATTATATTTTAATTTTTTTTATTATTACAATAATATATTTTGATAAATCTATCTAATTATAAAAGAAGTATGATCCATAAACAAAATTTTTCACCGTCATATTTGGTTAGATTTCTCAAAAAATCAAAATACAATATCTAATAATAAAAATCAAAAGTACATAGTTATAATAGAAATAAATGAAACTAAATTAGTATAATACACAAACGAACCTTGTAGCCTTTTGGAGCAGAAGTGAGGACGCAAACGGTAAGGTAACCATTAGTTAATCCCAAAAACGATGTCAAAAATATCATCCAACCCTGATCAGCATACTTAGCCGTGAAATAAAACGCCGGAATGAGCAAATATCTTGCTAGAACTGCTATCATGAGTCCTTTTCGTGACTCCAACTTCATGCATTTAATTAGTGGGATATATCGTCCCACGAGGTCCCACATATTGTACATTGCAATAAGAACAAGCACGTACCTAACAATGAAATTATGTTAAACAAGGAGTTGTGGATAATAATAATAATTTCCAAAATAATAATAATTAGATGAAAAAAGTTTCAAAAATAATTAATTTTAAAGTTTTTAGAGTAAATTATACGAATCGTCCCTCGTGCAGGTGCCAAAATGCACGTTGAATCCCTATTTTTAAAAATTAACTCGGACCGTCCCTTGTTTGTTTAAAAATTAGACGCTTCATCCCTCCCAACATTAAAAGACTATTTTGCCCTTAGCAATTTCTTTTTCTAATTTTCTTTTATCTGTTTATTAATTTTAGATTAAATAAAAAGAAAAAAAAATATCTCCACCCTCCCCTTTTCTTTCCCCACTTTTCTTTTCCAGGTTTCCTTTTGGTCTCCATAACTTTCCGGCAATACCAAAAAAACACCACCACCGTTTATTCCTAGTTTCATTATTTTGATGATCCTCTTATTTAGACATTTTTCACAAACATTGGGCCTCGTATCCCTTTCCCATTTCTGCTATATTTCTTCCAATGTTGATATACTTTGAAGATGAGTGAAAATAGATGAGGAACAGGAATCGCACAAAGCAAGCAATCACGTTTTTCCGGTGAGAGGGTAGCAAGCTACACAGATCACCTCCTGAAAGAACAACACATGCCGAAAACCAAACCCTAGCCGCCTGTTGTTTATCCGGCAAGAGGATAGCAGATATGGGTTTCTTGCTCTCGATCTGTTCTCAATTTGTGGTTATAGATCGAAGTGAGAAGATGAAATAAGGTTTCACCACTGGAAGAGAAGGAAGAAGGGAATGTTTGAGGTGGTTGTACCGGAAAATATGGGTGGTCCATCGCTGCACCAAACCCTAGCCGCCTCTCATTTTTCCGGCGAGATGGTAGCGAATCTGCACTCATCCCCAAGCTTCTATTTTCCTGTTCAGATCTGCACTCCAGCAAAAGGTTGGATCCTCCGACGATATTAATGATGGAGCGGTGACAGGTGGTGTTCGAACGGGGTGGTTGCCAGCTGTTATAAAGGAGGGTGGCGATGGTGAAGGAGGTGGCTTGTGATTATTTTTCAGGGAAACACAGGTGGTGGCTGTGCAGATTTCCGGTGATGGTTGCTCATTCCGATGGTGGTGGTGGTGGCTGTGCATTCCGGTGGTAGTGGTGGTTAATTCTTCTTCAACAAAATATAAAGAGAGAGATATAAATATTAGGTTTAATAAATTAATCAAAAATATTAAAATAAATGAAAAATAAACTATAAATGATATTTTAGTTATTCCATGTCTCACACAAGGGATGAAGTATGCAAATTTAAATTAAAGAGGGATAAACCATGCATATTTTTACGGTCCGAGTTAATTTTTAAAAATAGGGACTAAACATGCATTTTGACACTTGTACGAGGGACGTGTAATTTACTCAAGTTCTTATTAAAAGTGGTTGTAGATAATTTTCAACAATAAGAATAAGCGGTAGTTTTCATGTCAAAAGTGGTTGTAGATAATTTTCAACAATAAGAATAAGTGGTAGTTTTCAAGTCGGAAAAACAAATTAGACAACTTGTACTTTACACCATCCCATTTAATTTCTATCTAAAATTTATAATTAGTAATCACAAAATACTTGGTGTTAAAAATATAGATTTGGGACTTGCTGTAGTAAATATAGGTCCACTTAGGGCGAGTTTAGAGTAAGTATGACTTGAGGAATCATTTGTGAACTTTTGGAAGTTAAGTATCTTAAACTAGGGATGAGCATATGGACCGGGGAACCGGCCGGAACCGGAACCCGATGGAACCGGTCGGGCCGGGACCGGGACGTTATTTTTGTTGATTTTTGGAACCGGGAACCGGTAGGAACCGGAACCGATATAACCAGAACCGGTAGAACCGGCAAAAACCGGTAGAACGGGCAAAAACCGGAACCGTATGATGCTATTTTTCGAGGACCGGTTCTAACATTTGAAGACATGACAAGAACCGGTAGAACCGGGAACCGGTAGAACCGGAACCGGTAGAACCGCCGGGCCGGTTCGGTTCTTAATTTTGGCCGAAGCCGGTTCCCGGGTCGGGTCCGGTTCGGGCCGGTTCCGACCGGTTCGGTCCTTTTGCTCATCCCTATCTTAAACCTCTGAGGCTTCTCCCAATTCTTCATTCGAACGATTTCTAGAGAGTACAAGGTGAGAGCTTCTTGATCTTGACCAAAAATTCCATTTCCAAGTAATGGAGATTGAATTTTGTTGGAATTATTCATCAATTTATTAAATAGAACCTTTTAATTAACGAGTTGTTGATATTTCTGGAGGTGAAGGGAAGCTTGTATGATAACATAGTACATCGGGCTTTTGACCATAGTTTGATTTGGTTGACTTACTTCTTAATGAGTTCTTCTTTGTTCGTTATATATGACTTTCGATTAGAGCTTCATTGCTCATTATAGATGGCTTTTAATAAAAACTTTGTTGCTCATCATATATGACTTTTGATGAGAGCTTTAACTGCTTATTATAGATAATATCGATTGAAAGACTTATGGTTTAATATGATGATATGATGAAACAATAATTATTTATCTTATGTTACGCACTAGTGTTTATCTAATGCATCCTTTAATGTCTATTGCATATGTAGTAATATATATACAGTTATGTCAACCTTATCTTTGATTACAAATGATATGTTCTATCTTATAAATTTCTTTTCATAACATTAATTATTTTTACAAGTTCGACTATTTGTTGAATTCTATTTTTCAAAAAGGTAGCCACATAGATATAACGGGGGCATTGACCCACCCATACAAATTTGTAGTTTTATATATATTATATATAAAATATATATTTTAGTTAAATAAAAAAGATATTATATATAGAATATAAATATTTTTGTTAAATAAAAGGGGCTAGGGACATGAATTTTGATATGATCTATCCACTAAAAACTTCAAATTCTATATGAAGAGAATAGTTTTTGCTGCGATTAAAGAATTATGGTTACAAGTTTTTGAGTACATCACATCATTATTGTTCACCAACTTTGTTATTTTTTTCCTATTTTCTTAATTAATCAATTAACTGATTTAATTTTCATGTTAGACAATTTTTAAAAAATTGTGGTTGCAAGTTTTTGACTTATTTTGCTACTCGATTATATTTTATAAATTATTTGGCCTACCGTAAAACACAATCCTAACTATGCCATTGAAAAAGGTGTTTACCTATTAGAAAGAGTTTTAAAATGGCTGTTGCGACTAGCTTACACGAGATATGTTTTATCCGGTTGGAAGGTATATACAGTGTTTTGTTTTGATGCAAAAAGATAATAAGTAAATTTAAGGGATTTTGGTATGATTTGGTTTAGGATATTTATCTTTGATGTTGATTTTAGAAATTTTCTTTGACGAAGATGAAAGAGCCAAGGGTGAAATTATCATTTTACCTAGGTTTAACATATGTATCTACTTTGGTCTTAATTTTTTTATTGGTCTCTTCATTTCGGTTTTGGTCAATCTTATTCCAATAGGAAAACGTAGTACTTTTGTTTTTGGAATAGAATCAAAATCATTAATTAAATGGATCATTATTTGTTGCCTGCTATAATAATAATGGTGTATTGATTTAGGAACGTGTTTGATACAAAGCGTTTGAGAGCTTGTAGCTTTTAGCTTTTAAAAAAACACTATAGCTTAAACAAAAAGCTTCATTTGACAGTACCAACATTTAACTTTTTGTTTAAACAAAATATTTCAAATCTAAAAACTACTTTATGTAGCGTTTAACAAAATGTCACAAAGCTTTTTAAATTATTTTGAAGAATTTCCATAAAAATATGTTTATGTATTTAAACAATTGTTCTTTTCTATAATTTTGTATATTTGAAAAGCTTTTAATTATTTTTGTCAAACATTCATATAACAAATAAAAACTACAGTTTCTAGCTGCTAGCTTTTCACTACCCGCTACCAGCTAATAACTATTTTCGTCAAACACTCCCTATATTATTATTATTATTATTATTATTATTATTATTATATTTGTTAAAATTTTCCTACTTCTAACGTTGTACCCTACGTATAAATTGTGGTATAATGGATGAACGATGTGTGTTGAGAGTGTTGATGTTACCAAGAACCCAAGCTATGTGATCCCGTGTCTTCGGATAAGAACCCAGGAAAAATAGAAAGTGTTAATAGATATATCAAAAGCATATCGATTGCATAATCAATATTTTCCTGTAACAATTCCTTGATGCTCAATCGTTCTAGTTTTTTGGAATTTGATTCTATCTGCAAAGAAACCAACCAGGGTTGAAGATTAGCAATCATACCTACTATTTTAAAAGAGAACCATTTGGAAAAAGGTAATGTGTTAGTTATAATAGTAATATACTTTAATTGACTTTTTATTGTGGCATCTTACTTTCATTTCCTTATGTTAAACATTGCAGGTTGAAAAGTCTATTTAGTTATAGCAATCTCATTTCCTTATGTTAAACATTGCAGGTTGAAAAGTCTATTTAGTTATAGCAATCTCATTAAGTACATATCATATATCTTTGTTATAGTATAAAAGTACTAATAAAAGTTCTTTTTTACTGTAATGACTTAAAAAAATATATGTATAACGATTTAAATATAACATAAATAAATTAAAATGAAGTGTTATAACACACAAATATATAGAACGACATTAACATTAGTACCTCTCCAGAATGCGAGTAAATTCCACCGGCAACAAGATCAGCTGAAACTGTTTTAGATCCTTCTGAAGCTGCCTTTGATCGGTAGTATTTTATAATTGGAAGCTTTGGGAACATGAATGCATATAGAAGTACACAAAGCAACTCAAAGATTGTGCATAGCGCGAAGAATAAAACTGCAAAACAAAGATTTCTCTATGTTAGGCCTTGTTTGTTTTTCAAGTAAGTATTATCCGGATAGAATAATGTTTGAATACATTATATTAATTTTTTTTTGAAAAAATAACTGCAAATTTGAGAAAATTGCAGGAAAAAACAAATAGAGCAATTTTGTAAAAAGTTGGACTTAGCAGGGAACCTTTTTATAGTCGGGTTTTTTAATTTTATTTATTTATTTATTTATTTATATTATAATTAATAGGATAAATAATTAATCTAGATAGTTATACACTTATATATCGTTTCCTCCGAACTCCGCTCACATTGTATCTAAAGTTTCAAATCCTTAGAGGATACGGTGTGGACATATCTCGTGCTCGTTGTGGCTGAGGT